GATTACAGGTATCAAAATTACCTAATCCTGCTATAGTATGACGACCTATCTTCGATTTTTGACAATGTATGCAGGTCTTAGCCCACAAGTTAATGTCGCGATTCATACTAGGCCAGAAATATCTCTTAGTCACCATTTTTCGTGACGTACGAATACCTGGGTGGCTAATGTCATGAATAGAATCGAAAGCTAATCTCCTAAATTTTTCTGGTAAATAAGGTCTACATTCGTTGTTAATAACATTACAATAAATAGGTAAGTCACAGTTAGGTATGTAAACAGTTTTGTAATTTATACTCGTGTTGGTATCGTGTAACAACTGCAATAACATGTCGTCGGTTTTCTGCGAATTCGCTAGATCGACATAGTTGATAATTGTTGGACAGTTTATTGTTTCTATACGTGACAATGAATCGGCGACTATATTATCGTTTCCTGTTATATGCCTAATATCATTAGTAAACTCACTAATGAAAATTAGTTGTCTTGTTCTTCTAGGTGTTTCGTTATTATTCCCTAATTTATCAATAGCAAAAGTTAACGGTTTATGGTCTGTATATATAATTAATTTACGACCTTCATGCATATTCCTAAAATGTTTTACGGCCATATAAATAGCAAGTAACTCGCGGTCGTAAGTGCTATACTTTTGTTGCGATGGCATTAATTTTTTTGAAAAGTATCCTAAAGGTTTCCAATTATTATTCACTCTCTGTTGTAATACAGCGCCTACGCATGTATAGAGGCGTCCGTCATAAGCGATAACGGGACGTCTGGTAGTGGATGCGATAACAAGGCAGCGGTTTTCAAACTTTGCTTACACGTATCGAATGCTTGTTCTGCTTTATTAGTCCAGTTAATTTTTGTCTTATCTTTACGTTTAGCTGTGCTTAAATAATTATTTAATTCGGACTGATATTCTACCGCGTGTGGTAAATGACTTCTATAAAAATTGACCATACCTAAAAATCTCCTAAGTTGATCTACTGTTTCCGGTTTAGGAAATTCGGTGATGGCATTGACCTTATCTTCAAGAGGTCTGATACCTTCACTCGAAACCTTGTACCCTAAAAATTCTACTACTTGTTTACCAAACTCGCATTTCGAAAGATTAATAGTAATTCCGTACTCGTTAAAACGTTGAAAAACTGATTTTAAATGCTTGCGATGTTGTGTTTCGTTTTCGCTTGCGATGATGACGTCATCAATATAGCAAAATAAAAAATCTAAATCTTTGAGAACCACTGTATTCATATATCTTTGAAATGTCTGCGCGGCATTTCTTAGACCAAAACTCATGCGTGGGAACTCGAAAAGTCCAAAAGGTGTTATGATGGCGGTTTTTTCGATATCTTCCTGAGCTACAGGTATATTGTGGTAGGCTCTAGAAATATCCAAATGACTGTACCACTTCTTACCTGCCAGCAGATATGTGAAGTCCTGCAGCCGGGGCAACGGGTAACGGTCCGGCTTTGTAATAGCGTTAAGGCCTCTGTAGTCACCACAGGGTCTCAAGCTGCCGTTTTTCTTTGCCACGACGTGTAGTGGACTTGCCCACTCGCTCTTTGATGGCCTGCAGATTCCCTCTTAAATTCATCTCTTACCTTCGCGTATCTATCCGGCGGCAAAGGTCTGGCATATACTGGAGTTCCAGAGGTCTCTATGTGGTGAAATACAATACTGTTAGGGTTAATTTCATTAAAATTTGCGGGTTTAGTTATGTTAGGATAATTACGTAATATGTCGCTATATACATGATTCTCGTCAATAGTTTTAACCGATGGCTCACGACAATTAGTTATACTACCAATAATATTTAAATTTGTTACACTATCTATCAATCTTTTGGTACTTAAATCTACCACTAACTTATGATAAGAAAGAAAATCAGCACCTAAAATGGGCTGCTTAACGTCGGCAATTACAAATGTCCATCTATATGGTCTTCTTAGATTTAGATTTAATATTAGAGTATGCATACCATATGTCTTTATTACTGAACCGTTAGCTGCATATAACTTATATTTCTCACCATTATTTGAGCACTTCGAATATTGTTTACTTATTGGTAACACTGATATATTAGCTCCTGTGTCCACTAAAAATTTTAGTCCACTGTGTCTGTCAGTTACACAAATATACTGAAATTTGCCGTACAGTCGCCCGCCGCAGCCTGCACGGTATTTAGTTTTCCTGATTAGTTTTATCCTTCCAGTTACATGGTTTTATACACTTCGTTGCATCTTCTTTGTAACGAAAATGATAAAAACATAGCCAAGGACTGTTTTTGTCGCGTCGCTGAGATCTTGCCCGTGAGTGTGACCTTGAACGATCGCGGCTCCTGGATAAATGGAAACTTGGCCTTGACGCCAGCCTATTGACCTGTAGTGTCAGTTTCGCTATTTGTTCTACTAGCATATTGAGTGGTCTGGGCAGTATGTGATATTTCAGCTACTTGCCCTATGTTTTCCATGACCTTGTCTGCTATGACTGCTAGCTTCTCCATATGAATCACAGTTAAAACTGCACGCACGTGAGCTGGCAGATGTCCTGTCCACAATATTCTTAATGTCTCTGAAGGAAATCTAACAGGTTTTTCATCCGACGGTATAATTGCGACGGTTTTTTGTCTTCATTGAGTAATTTCTGAATTTGTCTGTTTTCAGACTCTTCATAAATGTTTATTAGTCTTTGCTTAAGTATTTCGTATTTTTTTGTGTCGGGAGGATTTAACAATATGTCACGTACCTGTCCGATTACTTCTCTGTTTAATTTCGACGTGACGAGCTGGTATTTAGACTCATCTCCGAGCTTCTGGTTGGCGAGTGCGGCTTCCAGCTGTACAAACCATAGCCTGGGTTGTTCTTGCCAGAATTCGGTATTCTTGAAGATGTAATCTGCGCTAGCTCGGAAGTTTGTTCTTGCACTGCTTGTATAGCTGATTGTGACGTTTGTGGATTCATTATGCTAGTATGAAGTAATATATAGTAGTATATAATATATCGTAAAGTTCACACCACTAAATTCGCGGGTCACCACTTTCACAGGTCTGGGATATCACTTATGTACTATGAATGGAAGGTTCTCCTATCCATATATATCGCGTGTTCTGGTGTGGTGTCATGAGCTTTACCAAATGAAAATACATTTATATTTTATCACGATTGTAATGCGGCGATACGGGACTACATCGTATATCTGACTTGTGCGCTGTGCCACGCGATGTAATTCAATCTCTGTATTAACAATATGTATGTGTGTGTGCATAGCACACCTACACCATTAACAAGGAATAGGTATGCGACAATCAACATAGAAACCGCTACGCACTTAATCTCTGTTCAATAAGATAACATTGTCAGCGCTATGAATTTTAAATTAGATATTTTCTACAAAAACATTATTATCATTTATAAATTCTTCAATTTTATAATAAGCTTTTTCTTCATATTTTATACTAGCTACTCGCCCCGGCTTCGCGCGGGTGTTCATGTATTATACATATAAACCTTCCTCTTGAATCACTTTATCTATTAAAAAAAACCGCTTCAAAATCTGTTGCATAGTTTTAAAGATTTAAGCGTACATAGGGACGGACAGACAACGACAGTGACTTTATTTTATACTATGTAATGATGAAGACATTCGAATATTTTTCTTGCAAATTTAGTACAAACTGACAAGAGTACAGAGAGATATTATTATAAATATTATACAAAACCAAGTAAGGGGGAGGAAAAATGATGCACAGTGATGAAAGTAAAAACCTTTTGTACTAATCAACTGACAGATGTTTGTATGCTTTTGGCTATTGTAAAATATGGAATGAGTCATCTACGAAATTCCTACACTCTAAGTCCCCCAGGGGTCTATGACAAACTGCAAGGGGTCTACGACTGCGGCCATCTTGATTTTACTTTATGTTCTTAACACTAAACTTTACTGCAGTTAGAAATTTACATAAAATCAATAGCAGCTAACAATGGGGGGTCTACCCAATACCGAAAAATAAGGCAAGTCTACGACTCAAAAAAGTTTGGGAACCTCTGCTCTAAACAGAATCTGGCAGGGGGTCTACGACTCAAAAAAGTTTGAGAACTTCTGCTGTAAACAGAATCCATGTTAATCTTTATATATAAAAATTACGTGTCACGTTGTTTGTCCGCCCGTCCCGTCCGGACTCTACTACTGAACCGATTGCAAATTGGATTTGCACATTGTGTGCAATTTGATCCAACTTGAAAGATAGGATAGCTTACATCTCAATTTATAGTCGCAATATTATTTAATTCAAGAACCTTAGCCACAGCAACACGTGGTGTCAGCTAGTTTATTGTATGTACTACTGTATTTATAACAGATGGTTGGCAACTCTGTTATAAACACACTTGTACATACAATAATTATATAAAACATATAAATAAAATTGGAGTGTCTGTTTGTAATATTGAAATAACTGTTTTTTACTACATGCCTATAAGTATAAATACGGTACATACACCAAAATAACATTTTTACTAATTTTGTCTGTCTGTCTGTCAGTTTGTTCGGGCTAATATCTGAAATGGCTGGACCGATTTTGACGGGACGTTTATTGGAAGGTAGCTGATGTAAGAAGGAGTAACTTAGGCTACATTTATTTTAGAAAAAATATTTTATTTTAGAAAAGTAAAGTTAAATTCCACGCGGACGGTGTCGGGGGTACAGCTAGTAAATTATATATATATAGATTGTCAGGTCATTTCACAATGTAGTAGTGCGTAACAAAGTTTCCGGAAAAACCCAATTTGCGACGTTATTATTATGTGTGTTTAGGTTGATATTTATTTAAATTGACAGCCACTTAATTCCTCGCACATTAGATTCTAAACATTCATCAACTGCTGTGTAAATAATAAAAAAAAAACAGTAGGAATTCAAGTGTTTATTGCATAAATACTGCATTATTTACCTATACAATGCGTAACAACACATAATCGTATCAAGTCTGACCTACATACCTGTTCGCTGTAATTCTCTACAATCCCAAATTATGTATCCATTGTATCACGGTTATATCATCACACTATCACGGTATCACGTTATCACAGTCACTATCCCGTTGGTAAAGACGTGTGCGTTGTAGCAATGGCGAGTTATGGCTGGCCTCAGCCAGTTGCCGTATGTAGGGCGTGCCGGGCCGCGCATGCGCGGTGGAGGGGTGCTGGCTCACTCGATCGTCTAAAAGATTAATGTGTTTGATTTCTGTTTAGGGGAAGAAGGTTATTTGAAACATTCTATATAGTACTCATTATATTGATAGGTACAATAAAAGTACAGCGAGCGATCTACTGTGTGAAGACTCATTAAGAGAGAAATTCAAAACATCTGTTAAATCATATTTACTGAACGAAGCCTATTACTCACTGAACGATTACTTGAATGACGAGCGTGCATGGCAATAGTTGTTACCCTGTTGACCTATATAAATAACCTGGCTTTATATAAAAAAAGTAATTCAATTGAGTTTCTTGCCAGTTCTTCTCAATTGGATCTATATACCGATCTAGACGGCAGGAAAAAAATAAAAGTATAATGTAAAAAAATTGACGTTCATAAGCAGCTAAAATGTCCCACATGAATAAATGATTTTCAAATTTGAATTGAATTTGAATTTGAAAAAACTTTGTACCACCCGCAGCACCAGGGGAATTGCAAGTACGTTGTCGGCCTTTTAAAAAGGTATAAGCTCTTTTCTTGAAGGTTTCAATATCGTATCGGTTCGGAAATACCATTGCTGGAAGGTGATTCCATAATGTGGTTGTGCGTTGTAAAAAGTTTCTAGAAAACCGTAATGTGGAGGACCGCCATTCGTCCAGATGATCAGGATAGTATTTTAGTTTCTGGCGGGTGGTACGGTGGTGTGGTCCGAACCTCCGTGATAATGCGGTAGAAAATGCACAGAGATGCATCCTCCAAATGGACGTCGATTACCAATGATTTGATTTCTGAATGCGGTCAAATGGAAAGTTTGTTCAAAAATTGATGGATCTGCACCTTGTATAAAGTTTCGATTTCAGACACAAGTTTGTGAATCGAAGGACCTTGAGATTTGCTTCACATGGAATGTCTTGAAACTGAGGAGATCGATTTCAGAAACAAGTTTGTTCAAAAAATTGATGGAGTGAAGTTTCGATTTCAGATACAAGTTTGTTCGAAACTTGATGAAGTAAAGTTTCGATTTCCGACACAAGTTTGTTCGAAACTTGATGGAGTGAAGTTCGATTTCAGACACAAGTCTGTTCGAAACTTGATGGAGTGAAGTTCGATTTCAGACATAAGTCTGTTCGAAACTTGATGGAGTGAAGTTCGATTTCAGACACAAGTCTGTTCGAAACCTGATGGAGTGAAGTTCGATTTCAGACACAAGTTTGTTCGAAACTCGATGGAGTGAAGTTCGATTTCAGACACAAGTTTGTTCGAAACTTGATGGAGTGAAGTTTCGATTTCAGACACAAGTTTGTTCGAAACTTGATGGAGCGAAGTTCGATTTCAGACACAAGCTTGCGATATACCCACTACGTCACCCGCTAGCGACAGTAATCTTATCCTTGATTTAATGATGCAGTAAACATTGTTTATTGTATGAAAAGGCGAGAAATCCATTAACAGACTCCCGTTTCAATGGTATGTTTGCATGAAAACTTTCCATAGTCATCTGGAGCCTATAAACACAGATTTATACACAACTGGCTTTGATAAAAAGAAATTCACAAAGAAAAGAGTTCCTTGCCAGTTGTTATCAATTGTTTATGCACGGGATTTTCATTTAATTATATATATAATATATATATATTTATACATAGACACCTATATAAATAACATTGTAAAAACTGGCTTGTAAAAAAAATATTCAATTTATTCAAGTTTCTTGCCAGTTCTTCTCAATTGGATCTTTATACTGAGCTGGACGGTAGGGTAAAAATAATAAAACAAAAAAATTTACGTACATAAGCGACTAAAATGCTCTACATGAGTTAATGATGTTTGATTGATTTGATAAAAAGTCGTTCTTGATGGTCTTTATGATGTAGCTGTTTAACACACCGCTTTATATCCGATGGTCGCGGGTACCATTCCTCACACGGTACAAAATTTGCATTCATTATGATTGTTTGTATCGGTCTGGGTGTTTTTATGCATATTATATATATACAAAAAAACTGTATGTAAATATATTTATATCAATTACCTAGTATTCTATAGTACAGGATTTTTCCTATTTATCGAGCAGGATTTTACCTTATATTATAAGGATAAGTATAACACTATTGTATAACATAACAAGCTCTGCTTAGCTTGGGGCTAGATAGCGATGGGAATCGAACCCGCGACAATCGTAAAGTCATGTACCAAACCGCTAAACCACCGCGGCAGTCGAATAAGATAAACTTAACGTCTATACTATATAATATTATCTTATCAGTGTTCATTATACAATTTATATCACATAACTAGCTATACCCGCGACTTCGTCCGCGTGGAATTTAACGTTATTTTTCTAAAATAAAAGTAGCCTACGTTACTCCTTATTACAGCAGCTTTGCTTTTCGTAGGGATGCTCTTAAAAGGGAATTGTAATAAAAAAAATTGGACTGAATCGACTTGATGTTGGTATGTACCACGGTATACTGTCTGATCCTGTAGCATCGCCAGTAAAAAATTTTCTATTTATATTATAGTAGAACACAAGGGCTCATTGGGTTCCCTAAAATATGGTCAAGCGCAGTGATGGCTGGCTCATCCGTCATACTCGTGATCGAGTGTTGTTTGTAGGGACTGGTCTGCTCTTATCACTACGACTGATTTAATCTTATTGTGTTTTTGTATTTGATCCTAATAAATTAGTGCTGGTTGGTAGTTCGTATTCACACGTTTCGACTTGTGAAATGTGAAGTTACATTATTTAAAAGAGGAACACAAAAGTTTCTTGCTCGTTCTTCTTGTGATGAGACAGCTTTCCGAATGAGCAGTAGATTGAAAAAAAAATTGTTATGACTATTCAAAATTGCTTAAATTAAGTTTATTTGAATAAATGATTTTCTATTCTATTCTATAATATTAGTATCAAGATACGATGGGACTGGCATTATAATATTATGATAAAATTTACTAAATAAATGTAATAATAATAATAATCTCAGGACAATTCACACAGCGCCACCTAGTCCCAAGTTAATCAAGTCAAGCTATCCAAACCTTTGTTACGGGTACTAGATAATATAGTAAGTAAATACATACATAATATACATAGAAAACACCCAGACCGATACAAACAATCATACTCATGAATACAAATGTTTGTGCCGTGCGAGGAACGAACCCGCGACCATCGAACGTAAAGTGGTGTGCTGGACCGCTAGACCTCCGAGGTCGTCAAAATGTAAGAATTAAATAAAAACTTGTAGGGCAAGAACAGTTGTTGGTGCCAGCTGTTATTGACAAAGTGCGAATCGGGCCACAGGATCGATCGGGGCGCGACACTCAGGCGCCACTCGTTGCGAGATGAGAACACAACGAGAGGATCTCAGGATTCAATCCTCCGCTACGGTAAAGCAGGTTGACGCATTCTAATCTTAGAACTAACTAGCTGTACTCGCGACTTCGTCCGCATAGAATTTAACTTTATTTTTCTAAAATAAAAGTAGACTAAGTTACTCCTTATTACTTCAGCTGCCTGCCAATAAAAGTCCCGACAAAGTTGGTCCAGCCATTTCAGGGATTGGCCGAAACGATCAGATAGACAGACAAAAATTGTAAAAATGTTATTTTGGTGTATGTACCGTATTTATATTCACATGCATGTAGTTAAAAATGGTTATTTCGATATTACAAAGAGACACTCCAATTTTATTTATATTTATATAAGATAATAGATATTTTGGACGTGAAACAACGAAACAACGAAAACCATTTTAAAGTGTATTGTGTATATTAAGTTATTGTATAAATATATTATAGTTTACTTTTAAATAAATAGATAAATTGTTGTGTTCATCCAATTTACGACTTATTTACATAGTGATAAAAAATGTAATATACTTTTGATAACCATATTAATTACTTAATTTGGTGTACTTTGAATGTAACAATATAAAGTTACAGATAATATAAATTATTATGAACAGCATCTTACCAATATTATAAACGCGGAAGTTTGTTAATATGGATATATGGATGGATGGATGTTTGTAGCTCTTTCACGCAAAAACTACTGAACGGATTTTGATAAAACTTCATAATGATATAGCTTAAATGTTAGAATAACACATAGGCTATTATTTATAAAGATATTATGTAAATTGAGCGAAATCATTACATAGTACAAAACAAAGTCGCTGTCGCTGTCTGTCAGTCCCTATGTATGCTTAAATCTTTAAAACTGCGCAACGGATTTTGAATCGGTTTTTTTAATAGATAGAGTGATTCAAGAGGAAGGTTTATATATATAATATATGTATATCCGTGCGATGCCGGGGCGAGTAGCTAGTATAATGATAAATAAGTGTGATGCAGACAAAGGAACATGTAAGCTAATTATAAATGATAAATTATTACCTCTATGCCAGAAGACTCTACTTCTAATAACATTATTAAAGAAGAGAATATAAAACATTAAATTTTTTGTTTCAAATTCAAAATATCTTTATTCATGTAGGTCTATTCAAGACACTTATGAAATGTCAGAGATGAGAAGAACTGACAAGAAACTCAGTTTGTAAAGTATAAAGAAAAAAATTGGATATTATAAATAATACATTTTACACATAGTAAACTAAAACTACACTATCCCTACGTAACATGGTAAACTTTAGGTTAAAAAAATACTTATTAATACCTGCATTCCTCTGGTACAGGGTAGGCGAACCAATGGCACACAATGGCATGTGTTCGCATACTTTGGGCACGTGGTCGATCATAAAACTGTTTGAAGAAGCTGGCTCATGCTATTTTAACAATATTGATATCAATTGTGGAACTCTTTACCTCACGAAATACATGCCAGTTCTAGTATTGAAATATTCAAATGCCGATTAAAAACTTATTATCTTTCACAATGCTGACGTATTTTTATATTTATATATTTAGGTATATATTATAATTACATTTTAACTTATGTCTTATATCTTATTTATATAGTTATGTATGTCTATTGATACTTATAGTTAATATCATTAGAACAATATTTTAATATCTCCTCTTTTCGTATACGTATGTACGACTATTCTATTTAATACACGATCCTATAACATTTTCTAGGTTTGCTGGAAGAAATCTCTTTTTAGAGATAATCTCGCCATTGTACATTACATTTATTCTGTATAATTTCATTTTTTATGTGTGTGTGTACAATAAAGAATGAAGAATGTTTTCACCTACCTATGCCTGCGAGTCATTATTTTCAGAGATGAATAACATTAAAGAAACGGTTAGAAACCATTCGACAGATGAATCCAGTTCAGCATGCATTTTGCTAAAAGTAACATAGTACAAGCCTGACATAGATTATTCATCTAACCTGCAGCAACAGAAGTCACACTAATTTTACAGTAATTTAATTTATGCGTGTAATGAAAACAATCCAAAATGTACCTCTTTTGTTTACTTTATTTCATAGAGAGTTTTGATAGTATTTATTGTTATTGTTTTCCAAATAATCAGAAAGTCAAAATTATTTCATGGCACGTCAATGACCCCATTAAACATCTTTCTCAATTTTATAGAGCTGTATAAAATTATAATGAATTTTCAGAATAACGAGAAATAATGTAAAGATTTTTTGTACTAATCGAGTACAGTAAGCCGAATAGAGTGGAACGTAGTGGCCACTTTGATTTCAAATATCCCCTCGTTGGTTAGGAACTCCTATCTCAAATTTATACAGCTATTTACTCATGCATTCGTGACGACTTCGGTGGTCTAGCGGTTTAGCACACCGCTTAACATCCGATGGTCGCGGGTTCAATTCCTCGCACGGTACAAACATTTGTATTCATGAGTATGATTGTTTGTATCGGTCTGGGCGTTTTCTATGTATGTATTAAAAAAAAAATATCTATGTATTGTATCAGTTATCTAGTACCCATAACACAAGTTTAAACTAGCTTAACTTGGGACTAGATGGCGCTGTGCGAATTGTCCTAGGATTATTATTATTCGTCTACCGCCTAGCCCAAAGCGCCTTCAAAGATTTTATTGATTCCCGTCCGAATAGTTTTTTTAGTAAAAGTATCTATAAACTACCTATGAGATGGCAAAAGGCCATGAATAGCAATGGTGCACACTTACATAGATTAAACAAATATATTGTATTTTGAAAAAATCGACTTTAGGTTACTCCCTTACAAAACGTCAATTTCATATGTACGGATACTATATACGGCAAAATTCCAATTGAAAGTATTGCATTGCTTGTTAAAGGAGACGTAACGTCTCTGAATAGAAGAATAAATACTGAAGCATACTACAACATAATTATTGTGCGGATTCACTTCCCTTAGAACCGAAATATTTGCTCCCAGTGTGTCCCGTACTAGGATTTTACTCTCGATCTGCGAAAGTTTTGGCACAGCATCCAGTCAGATACCGTTTGTGTGCTCACCATCACATCATCACGGTGTACACTACTCTGATACAACTAATACACAAACTGTGGTACTTATATTAGATTAGAAATAAACAGAAAGTGATTATGTAGAAATTATCTAAGTTTGTAATATGTTTGGAGTACTGCATCTTTATAAAAAACAACAATAAAGTAAGTAATATTTATTAATAATCTATACATATAAATAAAATTTTAATATCTGTTTGTAATATTGAAATAACCGTTTTTTACTACATGCATATGACTACAAATACATACACCAAAATAACATTTTTTACAATTTTTCTGTCTGTCTGTCGGTTTGTTCCGACTAATCTCTGAAATGGCTGGACTGTTTTTGACGGGATTTTCTTTGGCAGGTAGCTAATGTAATAAGGAGTAATTTAAGTCACTTTTATTTTAGAAAAATTCTTAAGTTTTTTGTTAAATTCCACGCGGACGGAGTCGCGGGCACACCTAGTTTCAAATAATTGTCTTTATATAATTAATTAATTAGACCTAATAATCAATATATAGAATTTATTATTCTTGATTTTTTTATTTCTACTGTATTTATAAGTATTTTATTATTTACCATACTACCTACTTTTATCTTTTACTTTTTTCTTTCTAATATTATAAAGAGTAAGAAGCTTTGATTTTTGTTTATCTTTTCATAGAATAAAACAAATTTGCTTCCGCTATCTGTTTATTTATAACTTTTAAACTACGCAACTCATTTTAATGCAGTTTTCAGCAATAGATAGAATGATTCAAGAGGAAGGTTTATATGTATACTACATGCGTGTGATAACAAGTACAAGCCGAAAAATTCTAAGATTTGTAATGCATCTCTGTGTCTCTGTTTTTTATACTACTACGGTGGCAAGGCAAGGTGACCCGTCTGATGGTAAATGGTAACCGTAGCCTATGGACGCCTGAAGCACCAGGGGTGTCACATGCGCGTTGCGGACCCTTAAGAAACCTTAATATACCCTTCTTGAAAAACCCCATGCTGTAGTCTCTCGAGAAAACCTCGGCAGGTAGTTCATTCCATAACCTAAGTGTACGTGGGAGGAAGTACCTCTGAAACCGTGCGTCCGTTCCGTAGCGTATCAGTTGCGCAGTTAAGATTTGATCATACATAGGGACAGACAGCGACAGCGACTTTATTTTATACTATGTAATGATAATGATTTTTTTTATACCACTACGGTGGCAAATAAGGTGACCGCTCTGGTGGTAAATGGTTACCGTAGCCTATGGACGCCTGAAGCACCAGGGGTATCACATGCGCGTTGCGGACGATTAAGAATTTTTTTCTTCTTCAATAAATTGTTACATAGCTGATTATAACGATATGTTAATAAATTTATATCATCGTCATCAGCCCACTGCAGTCCACTGCTGGACATAGGCCTCTCCCAAGGCACACAACTGGGCCCGATCTTCAGCCCTTCTCTTCCAGTTATTACCCGCAACCCAACGTATGTCGTCGCTCTACCTAGCTGCGGGGCGTCCTACACTACATTTGCCAATTCGCGGTCTCCACTGTAGAACACGCCTATATATAAATATATATAATTACGATTTAATTTACAATTTGGTGTTTTACACACGCACACAATTTACTTCTGCAAACGTCTGCGTTTCTTAGTTCCACTGAGGAGCTGGCGTCATGGGAGCCGGGAGTGGAGCTGGTGTTGCAGGAGGCATATTAGCCACAGAGATCTGTGCTCCTCTACTGCTTCTCTGCTGGTTGTGCTGCTGGCCTGATGATTCTAAATCTGGTACTTGATTATTATTGTTATTAATAGTAATAATGAATGAAAATAATAGAGAAGCTGTTTATTGCATACTGCTTGCTGATGCTGTGTGCTTGTAGAGACGTTTATTATAGCAGAGCGCAATAACAGAAGTTAATATTTTCATTTGGAAATTAAAGATCTCCTTACTAAACAACTAAAAGATATCGTATCAAAGTGGTTAATGACATTGTGCTACGATGACACAGAGCTGATTCTAACTAACTGTAGTCGATGATTCTATTCACACGCTCTCATACCCAGTCTACACACAAACTTTACCTTTATTTCAGTTATTATTCTTCGTAAATTACTTACCGATATAATATTGGTTAATTTTGTACCTCGTTGAACTAGAGAGACTGTTTTAAGTTAAAGTTTCTGTAATGAAATATATCTGATTCCTGCGACACAAGCCTTGAGCTTAGTGCAGCGATGTTTAAATATTTATTTTGTCTATGCCCATTGATGTAGTGTCCAAATAAATAAATATAAAAACAAATATATAAAAAGAACTCTGATATTTTAAATATGGATAAAAGTGCCAGTGATACTCATTGTAGGTCTAATATGAGAATTAAAACTTCAGCTTTGAAATCCTAAATCAAATACTGGTTTATCAGAAATCAAGTGAGACACTTATCAATGCCAACATAATACTACTTAGTTAAAATGACGATGAAGTTAATATAAATAATATCTTACTTCATAATAATAATAATAATAATAATAATAATAATGATCTCAGGACAATTCACACAGCGCCATCTAGTTCCAAGTTAAACAGAGCTATGGGTACTGAATATCAACATAATACTACATATAATATTATGTTATCTGTGATACTACTTAGTTAAAATGATGAAGAAGTTAATATAAATGATACCTTACTTCATAATAATAATAATAATAATGATCTCAGGACAATTCACGCAGCGCCATCTAAACCAAAGTTAATCTAGCTAATGCTTGTGTTATGGGTACTAGATAACTGATACAAATACTCATACACATTTTTTTAATGAAAGAAACATGCATATATAAAAACAAACTAATACAAACAATCATACTCATGAAATGATTGTACGGTGCAAGGAATTGAACCCGCGACTACCGAAAATAAGCCGGTATGCAAAGCTAGACCACCGAGACCGTCAGTCAACATGCAACAGAGCGCATTCAAAGAACAAGGTACATCTGGGGAAAGGGATTGTTAGTAATGACGGACAGCAACCCCTCCAGTTAGGTAGACCTCCAAGCAGCTATAAAAACCATTATGGTTAGTTCCTGGTGAATTCGTCACAAGACTGACCTAACTGAACTAACTTCCTGCTCATCCTATCATACTTCACTGGCATCCTGTCAGCGTCTACCTTTAGCGCAGGCGCGTGCATCATTACATTATCATCCATATAGAAAAATGCAATCTTCTCTAGTAAAATTATCCGAGTAAACATACAAATTCGTACTATTCTTGTAAAATTAACAAAATACATAAATATGATTCATGATGTTTCAGACACTTCTAGCTCGGGGAAGCCTCCTCGGAAGCCGATAGTAGCGAATGGTGTGTATGTAATATAAATGTGCAAACAGTATGTTGTAGTACCATCAAACCTTGTTAAGTTCTTACTATACACCATGCCATCTGTTTTGAAAGTAAAGGCTATATAGCACTGACTGTACACATCATTCCATCATATTTGGCGTGTCGATGTATGCTTATTTAGAGCCCAACATGGTATATTAATGTAGTCCTGTTTGTTCCAGATGGTGACTCTCGTAGACGTTCCCATGACTTTTTTAGTCGACGTATTGGCAGTAGTGCTGTCTCCTTACATCTTCCAAGTACCTCAGGTAACACTTGTACTGTAGACCACAAAACGCCAATTCTAGTAAATAATTTTAAATCTAAATATTTTATTCATGTAGGGTTGTAACAGACTCTTATGATATGTCAAATCTATCGTCAGTAAGAGTGCTTTCGAGCTAAGAAGAACTGACAAGAAACTCAGCTCTATTCTGTTCAAATGAGCTTGTACATGATAACAAAAATGCAGATTGACTTTTAAATTCAATTAGGGGAATATAGTAACAGCTTAATAATAATATATAACACAAAGTATTAAAATAGAAAGACATTAAAATTTTAATAAACGTACTATATGTATTCTTACAGGCAATGTGAAACAGCCACTTTCAGCTCACAGAAGTCACGAAGAAATTCGTAGTCGACGTAAATCACATCACGAAGTAACTGAATCAGAAACACGCTACCATTCAGCGCCCAGTGTTATAGACGAAGTACTCCACAGGAGAGACTGGGAAAGATCTACCAAAGATCTCCATATACCTTTGAGACCAGATGCAGAAATCAAAGATTCCGATTTGAGCCTTAATTCGGAATTAGCACCTCGTGCTGAACCAGAATCATCTTCTCCTGAATGCAGTAAGCCTGTAGAACACCAAACTAGAGCGTGTAAGAAACATTACACAAACATTAAATCGTCACGAGGCAGGAAAGATAAAGAATCTAATAGAGATGATATAAAGGATACTGATGCTACTGAAATGTCTAGTTTTTATATTGGAGATGTTAATGAAGAAGCGTCTGCACTAAGCAAGGTTCCTTTCAATGATGACAATGAATTATTTGATGATAGGACGAAAACAGTATATAGAGCAAAAGAAGCAAAACAATCTTTAAATGAATCTATTAGATCAAAAGACCGCCCCAAACAAACCTTAGTTCCGTTGGAAGAACATCAAACGTCAAAGGTTTTCAGTTACTGGCTGGATGAAGATGTAGACCAAATTGATAGATCTGGAGCCGTGCACCACAATATCGAATCTCGTGTCAGTTTGAGACCATATCCTCCACCATCTGTTGGTATGTACATTAGCTGAATAATTTTAACTAGCGCATGACATATAATTCTCTTCTACGTGCTGTTTATGATTTTCGCAAGCAATGGTTAACAATTAACATCAAGCTTGGCTAGCGTAATTTAAAAATTGGATCATTATAAACATTACCAATTTCAAATAGTAAATAAATATTATACAACGATCTCGGTAGTCTAGCTGTTTAGCACACCAATTTACTACCAATGGATGCAACTCAGTTTTCTCGCTAGGTACAAATATTTATATTAATAATGAGTATGATTGTTATTGGTCTGAGTGTTTCTATGTACATGTTTATTAAGTATTTATAAAAAAGGTATATATAATATATCTGTATATATATATCAGTTGCTTTTTTATGGATGATAATGGAATGGTGCACTCGCCTGCGATAACGGTATATGCTGGCGGGGCACCAGTGGAGGATGATAAGATGACCATGAGGTCAGGTCAGCTTGCTCATCGTAACATATTCACCAAGAATTTTTCATGATGGTTTTAAGGAGAAACGCATGGGGGGCGACCTAACATGGTACGTTGCTAGTAATAGGGACACTAGACCCCATTACTAAAAATTCCCTTCTCCTTTATATCAGTTGTCTAGTATTCACAACACAAGCTCTGCTTAGCTTGAGACTATATGATGCAGATCAACGATTAAGGAACAATGGTTTTAAAAAAGTTTTTAAAAGATTAAGTCCTCCTTCATTTAAATAATAAACAAAATAATGGAATATTTACAGAAACTGTTGGCTATGAAGGTGGTGCCTGCTACTTAGCTGAAGTAGGCTCCGTGTCGGAGCTACGAGCAAAGCCAGTTAATACAGAAGTGGTATCATCAGGTACAATGCGGGCACGACACGCCAGCGACGGAGATATACTAGCACCACCTCAGAGACCAGAGTCTGGAGCATTCTCTGGTGAGTTCTTTTATAGAACATGTTTTTATATTTCATTCTCCAAAATAGACAGTTTGTAAGAACGAGTTAGTTCTGTTTTGATTGATTTATTGTCCGGCCGTTCAGAGGATTGGCGATGTTACTTTGAACTGACGTACAATTTACAAACGTACAAAATTTTAAATATCATTAACTTTGATAACTTTACTAATTTAATATTTATTTTATATTCTTACGATTATTTGCTACCAGATGGTTATATTCACACAATATTTTTACATGTACTCATAGTTTTACAACAGTAGTTTGAGCAAAACATCAGCCGATATTTGCCGTGTTTGTTCTTCATAACTGAGACTAAATATTGAATATGGCGGTAGAAAAAGAAACTATATGACAGACCTTTTAAATTTTATTACTGTTTTTAACCCTACCGCCTTTATACTAAAGGATCTGGCCGGTTAAATATGCACCAGCGTCTATTGAAGTAATTTTACCTCATTTTGTAGTCCTTCCACTATAACAAGCACACGATCTGTTTCAAAATTTTCTGATTATACTAAGAAAATAAGAGGGTGACAACCTTTAACAATCGTGGGAAGGGAATTGTTAATAATGAGGACAAGTTAGTCTAATTGCTAACAATGTACCATGTCAGGTTGACCTCGACGCGGTTTGCCCTGAAAACCATCAGGATAAATTCCTTTTGAGTTTGCCACGACTGACCTGACCTTATCATCCTTCACTATACCGTTAGCACAGGCGGGTGCATCATTCCATTAACGTCCATGAAAAAACCCTTCAGAAGAACATTTCTTTCCCAGTTCCTATGAAATAATCCTTACGAAATTTAATCTATACATGACTGCTGAACCGGGCGGACCTTTTATAACAATAACTAGCTTTTTCCCGCGGCTTCGCCCGCGTTAATTCATCCCCTTATGGGTGGAATTTATCAAAATCCTTTCTTAGGGGATGCCTACGTCATAGTAGCTTTATGCATGCAAAGTCTCAGCCCGATCGGTTTAAAATTGACAAAGTTTCATACAAACTTTCATCCCCTATTTTATCCCCTTGGGGGTAGAATTAATCAAAATCCTTTCTTAGCAAATGCCTACGTCATAACATCTACCTGTATGCCAAATTTCAGCACGATCCGTTCAGTGGTTTGGGTTGTGCGTTGATAGATCACTATGTCAGTCACCTTTGAGTTATATATATTTAGACAAAATAAATTGCCATTGCAGAAAGCGACTTGGATTTAGAATTAGACGAGAGTGAAGAGCGTCCACCAGAATACCACGAGTTACAACTCTGCTCTGCTCCTGACCGTAAGGAAACTGCTATATAATTGAACCTAAGGTTACAAATTACAGTGATGTAAATAGCATTTGATACAGTAACAAATTTCTTTTCGTCTTGATATAAAAGAAAGAAAGAAAGAAAGAAAGAGAAAACTGAATCAGTTGCTATCATTAACTACCATAACTACCATCATTAGCATTAGCTATATCGTTGTCTAAAGAAAATTCGCCATGAATCTTTCTTCCAATTTAAAAAATTTAAAAGTGGATCGATTATTTCAATATGACTATTAAAATTATGCTTATTTTAAAAATTCTGCGTTTAGTACACATTTTTAATATAGTTAAACGAGGTTTAACACGAATAATTTGTGGTAAATAAAGGTATTTACCTCTCGACGAAGAAAAGGTATTCATCGCTCTCTTATTTACTAATATAGTGTTTTTCTTCTTCTTCTTCTAGTTGTCAATTTCCAATTTCTAGTTTTTTAGGGACTATACTAATTACACAGTTTATATTATCGGACTTATTGCAATACTTTCTTAGTTTCTAACTTATTGCTATTTCATTTTAATTTACATTTTGCCTCTTTTCTCTTTATATTTCCTATCCTACCTATATTCCTATGTCTATTCTATTTGCTATTTGTTTAAAACCTGTTTTGTATATAAACATTTAAAAATATTATAAAAAACAAGTATAAATATATTCTATTTTAGACAACAGTCTTTGATTTTATTATATAGTTTTAACACGAATAATGTATGGTAAATGAATGGTAAATTCACCTCTCGATGAAGTAAATCTGTATCTCTCTTATTATATTAGTATTATTAAGATGGTGTTATGCATTGAAGATTGACGTTCGATAATAAAAAATTATAAAAGGCTCTTGAATGAATTGAAAGAAATTAAGAAATTAAAGATTTTGGATATTAAAGTCATCTATATAAACCATTGAAGTTTAGAGAAATAAAGAAATGTAACTAGGGACTAATAAACAACAAGTTTAAATAGTCAATATGTTAGGTTTTGTAATAATGGCTTGATTTTGGCCACCTGCCAATAAAAGTCCCGTCAAAGTCGGCCCAGCCATTTCAAAGATTAGCCGGAACAAACAGACAGACAGACAAAGATACGATAAGACATTCCAATTTTATTTACATGTGTAAATTGTATAGATGTATAGATTAAGATAAATGTATGATCTAACAAAATTAGATAAAGCAATTTTAGGTAAATCAATTAATTATACACTGCAAGTGAAATCTGTAGATTAGAATTATTAAATTTAACAAGTTTCTTGCTCGTTCTTCTTGTGATGAGTCTGCATTCCGAATGAGCGGTAGAATAAAAAAACTTGACTATTCAAAAGTGCTTATATTAAGTTTATTTGAATAAATATTATTTATATTTCTATTAATAATTTTTAATTCGCTTAATTTTATTAATTAGGTAGTTAATATAATTTGTTTTTGCAATTTTGCAATATATTGACGACCTCGGTGGTCTAGCGGTCTAGCACACGATTCGATTCCTTGCACGGCACAAACATTTGTATTCATGAGTATGATTGTTTGTATCGGTCTGGGTGTTTTCTATGTATAATATGTATATATTTACAAAAAAAAATATCTATGTATATTTGTCTATTGTTTATCTAGTACCCATAACACAAGCTCTAGCTAGCTTAACTTGGGTCTAGATGGCGCTGTGTGAATTGTCCTGAGATTATTAGATTATTATTATTATTATATACATGCTAAGAATATTCTTAAATTGAAAAACGAAGTGTTTGCACATTTAAAATTGCGCTATTAATCGTAAAATGATGCTACTTGCTTCAGAGCATTTCTCTTGAAGTTTTAACCATATGTATTTTTGTCAATTTTGAAAAAAAAAATCAATTAAATATTTTTTGATATTCCCAAATGTATATTGATAGTTTATTTTAGTGTAGACTACTATTAGAGATGTAGGGAGCTCCGTAACCGAAGCTATCGGATATCCGATATAAAAAAATATTCGTAAACGTAACCGAATCCGAAATAAAAGTTTCGGATAATATCGGATAGGAGCGGAGCCTAATTGAGACACGTTATGTGGCCATTTTATTTGTATTTTACTTTTGAAATTAAAAAATTAATATCCCTAACCGAAATTATTCGAAACTAACGAATAATCCGAAATAATTTCATATCCGTATCCGGTATAATAATCATTCCTATATCCGAAACCTATCCGTATCCGAAATTTCATATCCATAACATCCCTTATCTCATTACTATTTAAACCTATTCCGGTGTAAATCTGTACACTTAATTTAAATTTATTTACATAAGTATAAATAATTGTTGTAATTATTTTTTTTATTTTTTTTATTATCTTACTAGCTGTTCCTGCGACTTCGTCCGCGTGGAATTTAACTTTATTTTTGTAAAATAAAAGTAGCCTAAGTTACTCCTTATTACATCAGCCACCTGCCAAAAAAAGTTCCGTCAAAATCGGTCCCGCCATTTCAGAGATCAAACAGACCGACAGACAGATAGACAAAAATTGTAAAAAATGATATTTTTGGTGTATGTACCTTATTTATATTCATATGCATGTAGTAAAAAACGGTTATTTCAATATTACAAACAGACACTCCAATTTTATTTAGATGTAGATTTCTACTCATGTGCCGCCTACTTTATTTTTAGTATAACTTTCTTTACTACGGTTGTCTGTAATGCCCAATTTACAGTCAGCCCGAGTGGGCAGGGAAGTGAGCAGCGCGAGAGTGTAAACACGAGTGGAAACACTTCCCATGTCATTGGCGCTGCCACTCGCGCTGCCCGGCGCTCCCTCGATTGTCGGTTTTTCGTGCGCGAGTCAAAGGACTGGCAGCGCGAGTGGCAGCGTGTTTTTACATTCAGCCCTCTCGCTCAGTTGTCGCCGGGCAATATTTCCGGCAGCGCGAGTGGCAGGGGAAGTGGCTGAATCTAAACGTAGCATAAGAGATTGCGTTAGCGATAAGACCGCCTTCTGTACATTCTTCTTTCTTTTATATATTGTTATATATATATATCTTTTTTTAATATTGGTGCAATGAAGAATTGGAAGTATATAAAATAAATAATTACTTAAAGTGCTCTTGTAGTTAAATATAATATGAATTATACGGCATGTTATATTATTGACTATTTTAATTAAAAATTAGGTAAATGTGCCACTAAAACATCTTTCTTCTATTAAATACTAGCTGTGCCCGCGACTTCGTCCGCGCGTAATAGTGACCTTGACCATATATAGAAAAAAAAATTAATAATCTGACCCAAAAAAGCCAAAGAAAAAAAGATTCCTCGTTACAGATTAAAAAATGACGATTTTCTAGTACAAACTTTCATCCTCTATTTTTTACCCCCTTAAAGGTAACAATTTTACAAACTTAGTCATATTTATTTACATTTAACGAACAGTCTAAAAAATAAGTTTCAAGATTTTAGTTTTTAAAAATGACGCTACTTCTATACAACCCTTCATTTCCGTTTTCAACCCTTTTTCGCATTAAAAATAGCCTATGTCCTTTCTCAGGGTCTACACTATCTGTGTAACAAATTTCATTTAAATCGGTTCAGTAGTTTTGGTGTGAAACCGAGACAGACAGACAGAGTTACATTTGCATTTATAATATTATGTAGTAAGGGGTAAGAATGGTCTGAATGTTAGTACATGTTATATTATTAACTATTTTAATTATAACTTGCCACTAGAAATCTTTTTTTAAGATTTTAAATCGATTATGACAGAAGTCCAACGGGAGTTTGCTGTTTGCTTGTTTATATAGGCTAACCAAATTGGGTACCATTTTTGGGTTGACCCATTCAGTATTTGCTTGTAGACAATACCGTCTTTACCTTAAGGGCACACGGGGCCCGTGCTCAGGGCCCCCATTCTCAGGGGCCCCCGAAGGACTGACAATTTTTCTCACACATTTATTCTCAAAAGATTTTTATCGGGCACTGTACACTTTTTTCACAAATCAGACATGTTATTGTTCTTATATCTAATGAGCTTTTTGTAACTTTCCAAAAGGGCCCAGTATTCTTATGTGCCCAAGGGCCCCAGCCTTGCTTGAATTCTGCAGACGATTCTCTGAATTCTACTTAATTAGTTAAAGTCAATTAGATATACCTGAAAATGTAATTTGAACTTTATATTGTTCACAATAAAATTGTTATACACTGCAAATTTTACCTTGCTTGGTATTAACGACAAATATAGAAAATAGACAATTAAAAAGTTATGTCATAGACAAACCACTTAACATCAGGAGCGTAAGCTTGTTCATTCTAATTACGTAAAAAAAAATGCGAATATATATTTTTCTACTTAAGGTATATTGTCATAAGTGCTATTATTAAAAAATACGATTTGTTATATTAATAAAAGTCAATGTGAGATACGTTTATGAATTCTGTAATTTTGTAAGCTTCTCTGTAATACACGTATCTCTCTCTGTTACGATATCGTCGGTTAAATAGAAAAATGGCAGTATTCAAAATGTACATTTTTTTTAAAGACATACAATTATAGTTTTTTTTTAGTTTATTTAAATTATTGTTCTCTTTAAAGTTTTAAATTTACACCGAAGTATTGTATATCATTTTAAAAGTATTTAGATAATGATTAAGACGGCGTGGTTAATTTAATTGACTTATATAAAACGAGGCAATACTAGCTTCTAATTTTAGAAAATGTCATTTTTCTATTTAATCGCCGATATTATATTATAATAAGATGTATATTTGTAAGTATGCTATTAATATATACACTATAATACACTATCATACACTATCATACACACACGTACACACGCATAAAAACACATACACACACACGACACCGTCCTCGCCGGCGAAGACGACGACCTAAAACACACAATATCGCGTATTCAACCGGGCGCCAGTGCGCGCCTGGGCGCTCCACACCGGCGGCCCCGGGCGCCCCTCCGATCGATCCCCCGTCCATTTCAAACGGGGATCGATATTACGACGGCCTGAGCCGAGGTTCGAACCCCTAGTGGTGCCCTCAGACTAAAGTCGTATCCGTCAGACAGGAGTTGGCCTTCAGCCGCTCCATAAGTCCTTCCTTTGGTTTGGAGTGCTATCTGCACTCGCCCCTATCTTCCGATAAAGCTGTAAAGGCCAGCTGCGGCCAACAGCATTAGAGTAGTCCGAAAAAAAAACACTGGCTAAATTGTATTAAAATATTACACAGGTTTACGTCTAAGCTATATTATTGTAAAGTTTCATCAAAATCCGTTCGGTAGTTTTAGCGTGAAAGAGTAACAAACATCCATACTCACAAACTTTCGTGTTTATAATATTATTAAGATAACATCGTATTCCCACATATATTGTTGTGTGTAAAAAGGAGTGTAAGGAATTGTAAAAAATATTACACAAGTTTACCTCTACATGTAAATTAAAACTGTTATCCTTGTTTTGGTAAGGAACTGACTCCTGACTCCTGAAACAGCTCACGCTAGTTTGGGAGTCTGGACTACATCAAACTGTACACTCATGAAGGTTTAAATAAATATGAATAAAAATATGAAAATGATAAATAAATAAATAAAAATATATTATACGTCATGTAAGTATTATTATTTATATTGTAAGCGAAATAAATATTTATTCTACAATCTTTGTTGTTTTATTTATAAACTCACTAATGTATCTTGGTTTTATTAAAGTCATTTATGATATGTCGATAAAAAAAATTAAGAAATAGCATCTTGCAAACTGTATAACTGTACCCATTTCTTAAGTAAATTATTTACATAATAGATTTCCTTATTTCTTTTTTATACTACTATGGTGGCAAACTAGCATACGGCCCATCTGATGGTAAATGGTTACAGTAGCCTATGGACGCCTGAAACACCAGGGGTGTCACGTGCGTGTTGCCGACCCTTAAGAAACCTTAATATACCCTTCTTGAAAAACCGCACGCTGTAGTCTCGTGAGAAAACCTCGGCAGGAAGTTCATTAGGTAGCTATTTCAACTAAGAACTGGCATGAAACTTTATTCATAAAACAAGCAAGAAAGTATGTGTGAGTACCTCTATGTAACCTCTATAAGCCGTGAAGCAGCTTGCTTTGTATGATGGGCAGAGTAATTGCAAGGTAATAATTAAGATGAACAGAGAAATTGTAGGGTAATAATTAAGATGGGCCGAGAAATATTACCGTATATTTACTCTACCTATCTTACAAAGCAAGTTTCTTGCCGGCTCCAGATAGAGTTGAGGGGTAGTACAGATGACTCATATTTGGTAATGCTATTGATGCGTCCGTTGCCATTTTCCAGCGTGTGGGTCATCAGCACATTTTCCTAATGGAATGGTGCATGTGCCTGATGCGCTAACGGTATACGCTGGTGGGGCACCAGTGGAGAATGATCAGATGAGCATGAGGACAAGTCAATTTGCCCGTCGTGACAAATTCATCAGGATTTTATCACGATGGTTTCCAGAGGGAACCGCGTGGAAGTCAACCTAATATAGTACATTATAAGGTTATTAATCCACATAACTAACAATCCCATACCCCCGGCCAGCAGGTTTGGCATTGCAGTTACAAATATACAATACTAGCTGTACCCGTGTTTTAACCCGCGTGAAATTTATAGCTTATATGTTACTAGCTACTCGCCCCGGCTTCTCACGGGTGTACATGTATTATATATATAAACCATCCTCTTGAATCACTTTATTCATTAAAAAAACTACTTCAAAATCCGTTGCGTAAGTTAAGCATACATAAGGACGGACAGATAAAATCCCTTCGGTAATCTTTATGTGAAAGAGTAGTAACAAACATACATACTCACAAACTTTCGTGTTTTTAATATTCATTCATAATTTAAGAACTGTGCTCTTGTCGGTGGAGCTCCCGCCCCCTTCCACGATCTTCTATCAGTCCCTTTAGCTGTTGATACGACACGACTTCAACTTTTTCTTTAACCTGCTTGATATAGCTGTGTCTTGGTCTTTCCCTTCCTTTCTTTCCATCTATTTTTCCTTCAATAATATTGTCATATCAAGTGCCCCAACATTTTATTAAGATAAAATAGTATTCCCACATATAATGTGTGTGTAAAAAGGAGTGTAAGGAATTGTAAAAAGTATTTTTGTGTCTGTGTTTATAAATGAATACAACATTATATTAAATACATTTATTTGAGCTGGTAACACATTCGACGAAAAATATTATTTTTAAATTCACAACACTTACAAGCTTTGGTCAATATATAATTTATACATTTGATAATAAGTAGTATAAATATTACAATAATTTAATAAAGTTACAATTGTCTTACATGGTCAAATTGTAAAAACAATGTTTATATAAAGCATCACAATTTTACAAAACATTTAAAATTTATATATTATCAGCTGTACACGCGACTTCATCCGCATGGAATTTAACTTTATTTTTCTAAAATAAAAGTAGCCTAAGTTACTCCTTATTACATAAGCTACCTGCGAATAAGTCCCGTCATAATCGGTCCAGTCATTTCAGAGATTAGCCGGAAAAAAAGGGGCGAGTGCAGATGGCACTCCAAACCAAAAGAAGGACTTAAGGAGGCGGCTGAAGGCCAACTATAAGTTCGATCATCGGCTCAGGTAATTTGGACTGATGATCTCAATGCTAGCAATGTACCATGTCAGCTTGACCTCCACGCGGTTCCCCTGGAGACCATCGTGATAAGTTCCTGGAGAATAGATCACGATGTGCTAACTGACCTGACCTCATGCTCATCTTATCGTCCTCCACTAGTGCCCCGCCAGCGTAAACCGTTAGCGCAGGCGGGTGCACCATTCCATTATCATCCATAAAAAAAACATCGGCTCAGGCCGTCGTAATTCTGATCCCCTTATGAATTGGACGGGGGATCGATCGGAGGGACCCCCCTCCGATCTATATCCGATACATCTAATTTACAATACTATTATATAATATAAATAGCATATATGTATATCAATTTAAATACACTATATTTGAAACAGCATAAGCACAAGGCAGCCAACAAGGACGGGGATATGCGGACGGCGATGTTAATCTTATATTATTGACAGTCTCGATGGTCCAACAGTTACAAGCACCGTTTTACTTTCAATGGTCGTGGGTTCGACTCCTCGCACATTGTAAATATTTGTATTCATGAGTATCATGGCTTGTATTGGTCTGGGTGTTTTCTATGTACATATATAATGTATGAATTTACAAATACAACGATATATTTTTTTAATTTGGATATATAAAAAAATGTAGCTAATTTGGTTAAAATATTAAGATTTTATTAAGATAAATATATTTTTATAGTATTTAATATTAATTTTAATCAAAGAGTATATATTAAAACAATAGACTGTCTAAGTAAATTGTTATTAGAATTTTTAAAAAAATATTGTTAAATTGTTTCGATTTTTTTTTCGATATGAAATTGTAAGACAATATTATAGTACACATAACAAAATTATAGTTATAGTTATTGATAAAACAGATTACACTGTATCTATATTTATATTTTTGTATAAAGTGTAATAAAAATTTCATTATGTAAAATATCAGTCATTCTTATTATGTATAATACTGTAGTATTAAATATAAAATCTGCTTCTTCGTTATCCCGTTTATTTGTGGTCGTCGTAATATATTTTTCTCTTCCATTCATCCCTATTCGCAATCATCTCGTTATTTACTCTCTTTCTTACATTCATCTTTCACACAGTCCATCCATCTCTTTTTCGGTCTTCCTCTGCCCTTATTCACATTCATATGTATCATCTTTGAGATATTATCTTCATTCCTACGCATTATTCCAAAAAACAGCAATATTCATAATATTAATACAAGATTTAAAGACAAACTTGTAGTCCCCAAGTATCGTTTAGAAAAAGTTAATTCACAATAAGATACAGAATTCCTTAAATAAATCAAAACATCTGTTAAATCATATTTACTGAGCAAAGCCTAAACGATTACTTGAATGACGAGTGTGCATGGCAATAGTTGTTCATGCACTGAATTTTCATTTAATGTTAGACATAGACACCTATATAAATATACATTGTAAATAAACTGGCTTTAAAAAAAAAAAAGTAATCAATTGAGTTTCTTGCCAGTTCTTCTCAATTGGATCTATATACCGAGATAAGGAAAAAAATAAAATTATAATGTAAAAATTTTACGTTCATAAGCGGCTAAAATGTCCTACATAAATAAATGATTTTTGAATTTTTGAATTTTTGAATTACATGTCCATACCACGTCAGATATTCGGTAGGTATGAGAATAGATTCTTATATAATTTTTATACCTTTTAACGTAAGGTAAGGGCAACCCCAAAAATGTTATTTTTTTATTTTTTATGATGTGGTGTTTAAAAATACATTCAATTCTAAATTAATATATATAATCCCCTATATAGTGAACTAGCTTTTGCCCGTGGCTTCGCTCGCGTTAATTTATCCCCTTAGGGGTGGAATTTATCAAAATTGTTTCTCATAGAATGCCTATGTCATAGTAGCTTTATGAATTTATGCATGCTTGGGGGTAGAATTAAGTCTCACGTCATAACATCTACCTGCATGCCAAATGTCAGCCCGATCGATTTAAAATTGACAAAGTTTCATACAAACTTACATCCCCTACTTTATCCCCCGCGGGCAAAAGCTAGTATTTCATAAAATCTTGTTGGTTCTAGACAGGACAAGACCTTTTAGAAAATTCTCGAGAGATTTCACAGGTATACTTCTCAATACGCTTCCTTTTCGACCGCATATAAATCAACCACATCGCAATTTTTTTATCATATATTATATGTGGTATTATCAATTGCACTGCATTTATAAAATAAAAATATCGAAGCTCGGTTACCCAGCTACGTGTCCAGGTCACCATCTACCGAGCAGCAGGCTCGTTGATGGTGGGCAGCGGAGCTATGATAGGTGCTGGTAGCTTGTTGACTGGCGGTGGTGGTGTCGGGGAGCTGGTCGTAGGGTACACCGTCCCTCCCACTGGCTGCGACGGTAGCTGGCGACACAGCTTGGCCATCGCGGATGCGCTGTCGCGTACCACTGTCGGTGTATGTTTTACAAAAATATTATAATACTAGCTGTACGCGACTTCGTCCGCGTGAAATTTAACTTTATTTTTCTAAAATAAAAATTGCCTAAGTTACTCCATATTACATCAGCTACCTGCCAATAAAAATCCCGTCAAAATCGGAGCAGTCATTCCAGAGATTAGCCGGAACAAACAGACAGTTTGTTTCGGCTAATCTCTGGAATGGCTCTCAGACAGACAGATAAAAATTGATTTTTTTTTTATTTTTGGTGTATGTACCGTATTTATATTCATATGCATGTAATAAAAAACAGTTATTTCAATATTACAAACAGACAGTTCAATTTTATTTATATGTATGTATGTATTTGTGTACCAATATTATATGTATATTATTATGTGATTATACATATGTATATATATATATATATTGACTGAGAAAATGTCTCATGGTCTTATGGTGCATATGGCCATATGCACCTTTATTTTTCTATTTATGCATTGAAGTTATAATAAATGCTTACTTAAAGTGAGGCAGGGTAAGAGATGGTTACCACTTAACATCAGATAACTCAGCAGTTCATTTGCCATTCCAATTACAAAAAAAAAACCATACCTGGTTGTACAGGATAAGAGGTGGTAGCTGGTGGACCTGGTGGTCTCGGCCGTGGTGGCGACGGTGCCGGCGTGGAGTACTCTTGCCGTGCCAGCTCTGTTCAGATTGTAATAAATATTGAATAATCATTATATAATATAAAATAAAGTCGCTGTCGCTGTCTGTCCATATGTATGCTTAAATATTTAAAACTACGCAACGGATTTTGAAGCGGTACTTTTAATAGATAGAGTGATCCTAGAGGAAGGTTTTATAATACACGTCCAGTGGTTTTTGCGTTGATAGATCACGGCTTTGAGTTGTATATATTTAGATTCGCTCGCGTTAGTTTATCCCTTTAGCGTGGCCAATAGTTGTGAAATTTATCAAAATCCATGTTTCTTAGGGGATGGCTGGGCGGCAAAGAAAACATTTGATGAAACTTTTACAATAATATAGAAATTCTTAGTTTACATCAGAATAACACAACCTTACTAATATTATAAATCTGAAAGTACAGATGTTCGTTACGCTTTTACGCAATAACTACTGAACTGATCATCGTGAAATTTCGTACACATGTCCTAGGAGGTATTAAAAAGAACATAGGATACTTTTTATAAAAAAAAATATGTTTTCATAAGAAACAAAAAAATAAAATATCATCATTTTGCTACTTCAGCGTCATCTAGCAGACATTAATGAAGTTATGCGAGCGAAACCGCGGCTAAAAGCTAGGAGGCTATAAATTGCGGGTGAAACCGCGATCACAGCTAGTATATACATAAAAATACCTGTATACGGTCTTACCTTTGACCCTCTTTATGCAAAAATAGAAGAAGTAACAGCAGAGTAGTAACAAGAGGACGACGACGCCACCTAGCGCCACGTAGTAAGCCACGTGGCTCGGGGGCCGAGCCCCCAGCACCGGCGCGCCCATACTGACAGGACACAATAACAAAATACTTACTAACTTCACAGATAACATAGTGTGACATGGCGAACAGGGCCATCGGCCATATCCTCGCTCTTGCAGGCGCCTCGCGTAACAATCGCGTCTCTATGTTGATTGTCGCATGCCTAATCCTTGTTAATGTAAAATTAAAACAATATTTATTTTAAAAAGCAGCACACAAGTTTCTTGCTCATTCTTCTTGTGATGAGTCGGCATTCCGAATGAGTGGTAAAATAAAAAAATGTGACTATTCAAAAGTGCTTATATTAAGTTTATTTGAATAAAGATTATATCTATAACCAAAGCAAATTTTTAACAACCAGTGAGCGATATTTTGCCTAATGTCAAGTTGCAAAAACTTTCCGATTTAGCCATTTAATCACCAATAAACAAAATTACCAACACTATATTATTTAAAAAAAATGTAAAATAAGACGTAGCTTTACATTTTTTAAATATTAGATTCTAACACACGATATTGCGTTTTGTAATGGAGTAACCTAAAGTCGATTTTTTCAAAATATAATGATATTTATTTAATCAAAGTATGTAATGAAAAATTTCTATTTCTCAGTACCTATTCAAGATATCTTCAAATTGATAATAATAATAATAATAATAATCAGGTCTATTACGCGCACACACACATACACACATGGGAGAGATATAATAAATAAATACATATATATATATATATAATAATAATAATAATAATAATCATTTATTCAGCATAAAAAAGAGTACAGAGTAAAAAAGAAAACTTAAATACTAATAATCGTCTATGCTGAAAAGGCTTCCACTCAGCTGGTGCCGCAGCGTGTCACTACAGCGCTGATTTTAGTGGAGCCACTTGAAAAAAAGAAACTATATATGACTATCGATGAATTATAACATATATTTTTTCAATTTTGCAATATTAGAAACTGTAAAAAAATGAAAACTATAAGTTTTTGGGGTTGTTTGGTGGTTATTGAATACTTACTTAAAAAGGAACTTCCGATTTGGTCTTCAAAATCGTCATTATCACGTACATAATTCTCTAATCCACTGATATGAAATGTCCACACCTCAGTAACTGTTATCACAAATCACTATCGTAATTTTTAAAACGTTTACAATTTTATTTTATCACTACTCGTAGCTTAAAATTTGGACATAATACATTTTGATCCCATTTTAACAATTAATTACAATTCAATATCAAAAATTAATGTATACAGTGATATATTGGAGTTTAAAAAAGCTACAGATAAACATTTTGTAGTAGAAAATCTAAGATAAACTGATGCTGGTACTGGCGAATGAAATGATATGACTGATCCGAACAAGAATCTTTGAAGTTCGTCACGTTTAGATACTGTGTCCACAGTTAGGGAAAGAATTTGCGAGACTTACAACAATCTGAAGCTGAACAAGCTGAAGAGTTTGTTTGTTTTCAGTTTCAAAAGAGTTAGTGATTGCACTAATAAAAGCTTACGTAACAATAACAAACTGATTTTACCTAAATGTCGTTAATCGTTTTATGGCAATTGCGAAGGTTTTACAATAAAATATCTTTTAAATGTCTATAAAATTGAAGAATTCGTTAACGATAATAATGTTTTTATAGTCTTTAAATCTATAGCACTGACAATATTATCTGATTACATTAGTAATGAGTGCTTATCGCATGCCTCTTACTTGTTATACTGTAATTATTTATATAAAAAAAAACATCTATTAAAAAGAGCAACACACAAGTTTCTTGCTCATTCTTCTTGTGATGAATCTGCATTCCGAATGAGTGGTAGAATCAAAATATGACTATTCAAAAGTGCTTGTAATGAGTTTATTTGAATAAAGATTATTTCTATTTCTATTTTGTTTGAACGCGTTAATCTCTGGAACTACTACGAAAAATATTTTTGTGTCGGATAGTCCATTTATCGAGTAATAGGAGCACAGCTGCAATGAAAATTATTGCAAAAGGTGGGGAAATGAAAGCAGACGAAGTTTCGCGAGTCAGCTAGTAGAGTATAAAATTGATATAATATCAAAAATATTAACGTAAAGCTATTAAATATTTCATTCCAAAACAATTATTTGTAATACTACAGTTTTTAAAGAAAAATAGAAGAATAATAAGCACTTTAAAGTATTTTTTTTATTGTACCACGGCCTCGATTGTCTATGGTCTTAGTAGTAGAGCTTGTGTTATGGGTATTTGACAACTGACGTAAGTACATAAGTACATTTTTTGTAAATACATAACATAGATAAAAACACCCAGACTAACAAAAAAAATTATGAATGCTTACAAATGTTTCCATCATTTCCATCGTGCGAGGAATCGAACCCGCGACCATTGACTACACCACGAGACCACTAGGCCATAGACTGTATTTCTTAAAAAATATAAATGCCTTTTATACTTAAAATAAAAATCCATACGAGGGAGAGTTACTAATAATTATCTACTTATTACAGCCAATTAACATATTGGGAACGTCCATCAATATCCGAACGTGTGGTAACGTTACTGACACTGTGCTTAGAGTTGGAAAACAGTGTGGTCCTGAAGGATGGGAGGCGTGTCACGTCAGAGCAGAGCAGCAACAAGTAGCGACACTCCGGCGCCAGGCTGCAGCACGCCAGGGGTGGCCACATGTACAAAATAAATATTTTCTTTATACTTACTATGTAATATTATAGGTGTGCTAAACCGCCAGACCTCGGTAATCTAGTGGTTTAGCACACCGACTTACTCCCGATGGTCGCGGGTTCGATTCCTTGCACGACACAAACATTTGTATTCATGAGTATGATTGTTTGTATCGGTCTGGGTGTTTTCTATGTATATTATATACGTATTTACAAAAAAAAGTATGTAAGTATTTATATCAGTCGTCTAGTACCCATAACACAAGCTCTGGTTACCGTAGGACTAGATGGCGCTGTGTTAATTGTCTACGGCTATTTATTTATATTATGTTATTTGGGTCCTTATAATATTATAAATACTATAAGATAAAGCAACTCTGTCTGTCTCGCTTTCCTGCCAAAACTACGGAACTATTAACCATTTTTGGTTCACAAATAGTCAAGACCCTGAGAATAGACATAGGCTACTTTTTAATCCGAAAAAGGGTTGTAAGGGGTTGAAAGGGGAGACGAAAGTTTATATGGACGCATTGACATTTTGAAAGCTTGAATTGAAACTTATTTTTAGGATCTTGATGGAACATAAGTAAAGCAAAAGGGTTGTAAGGGTTGAAAGAGGAGATGGAGGGTTGTATGGAAGTATCGTCATTTTTATGGCTAGAAGCTTGAAACTTACTTTTTAGGCAGTTGATTAAATATAAATAAATATGATATTCAAAGTTTTGTAAATATGAGTTGAATGTTTGTATGTGAAATAGTCATTATTGAAGCTAGAACGATGAACCTTATTTTTTGTGGGTTACATTGTTTATATTTTTTCTGTATTTATATTCTGTATTTCGCGGGCACAACTAGTTTTACTATAAGACTTTCTTTATTTTACGTGTGTATTTCCGCAGAATATAAGTATTGGGGGAAGGATATTGTGAGTAATGTGGACTGATGCAATGCCGGATATGTAATTGTGTATGTCTTCTGGTATTTGGCTGGCAATTCTACCAAAATTGCAAAAAAAAAAAACAATTTTCCATAAACAAAGATCTCACTATAACCTCATAATGTCTTTGAACCAAACAAAACAATGAGCCGATAAATGACAATCAAGTATTGACATGCGCAGAAACGACATTTCTTTCCGGTACCCCTAATAACATGACAGGTCCTTCCTTTCCTATCCTTAAAAACATGTTTACTGCCTGACTTAAGACCTGACACCATCCTCGTTCTAGTATTTTCCAGTAATAATGTAATCGTTAGTACAAAATTGCAAAGAAATCCTATTATTTTCCATTCCAGGGGACTAAGGTAAGATATCCTTTTTATCTCATCCTCCAAGCTTGTTCGCTTGTATTATTATAAACATTTCGTGTATTATTATAAACATGTTCACTACTATTTGAAAAAAATACGAGCTGAGTTTCTTGTCAGTTCTTCTCATCTCGATATCATTCCGAACTGACGGTAGATTTGACATATCATAGAGCCTGTAATAGAGCTATATGAATAAAGATATTTTGAATTTGAATTTGAATTTGAATACTGCTGACAAAGCAAATAGCTTGGCGGCTGAAATAGATTTTTTTTTTACTTATCAAGAATATATATATATATAAACATATATACATATAGATATAGCTACATCAGCCAAAATTGGTTACCATGTAGTCGACTTTATACACAGTCTTAGAACTATAGCAGTACGTAGCAGCCCTACGTTGTTGGGTAGTCTCGTCTCGCTGGCGCCGCAGGACCACTCGCATGCGCAGTGTGACTGTCACCATCCTCCACCAACAGTCACGTAGTATGACATACTGCCTGGTTGTTATAAAAACATCAGCAATCATCATTATGGAGATCTGAGATAAAATCATTAGCAAGTTTCTTGATTATTCTTCTTAATGACACAGTTTTCTAAATGACTATTAGACAGTGCTTCAGTTTAAAATTAGTATGTATCGGATCCTTGATACAAATTCATCATTAGCAAAGTTTCTTGCTCATTCTTTTTGTGAGGAGACAACTTACCAAATGAGTCATCATCTGCTTCTTCCTTATCCCATTTATTTATGGGTGTTGTAATATGTTTTTCTCCATTCATCTCTGTTCGCAGTCAACCCATTATTTACTCCCTTTCTCACCATATCATCTTTCACACAGTCCATCCATCTCTTTTTCGGTCTTCCTCTACCCTTATAACCATCCACATTCATATGTAACACCGTCCTTAGGATATGATCTTCATTCCTGCGCATTACATGCCCATACCACGATAGACGATTACTCTTTAACCTCTCCGACATGACCAAATAAAAAAAAATATGATAATTCAAGAGTGTTTAAGTTTA